CGACGGCGACGCCCGAGCGAGCCTCGGGCGATGCGCGCGGGCGTTGCACGCGCGATGCGGGGCGGCGATGACGGCGATGGGGATCGTTCTGCGCGATGTCGAGGTTTTGGTCACCGATGGGCTCGATCCCGAGCAGGTGTGGACGCAGGTGGAGGCGCGGTGGGGGGTCGCGGCGACGCGATGCGCACGCGCGTGCGCGGCGTTGAAGAAGAAGTTTGGTGACGATCGGTCGGGGGTTGAGGGGTTGTTTGACGTCGATGTTGACGGTGGGACGAGTTCGGAGGGGGGTGGGGTCGGGAATGAGGGCGAGGATGGGGAAGACGTCGACGAAGAGGACTCGGACGCGGACGCGGACGCGGAGGAGACGGACGAGGGCGGACGCTCGGCCAGTGGAAAGCGGTCGAGCGGGAGCCGAACGAGGAAAGTTTTTAAAAATCCAGGAATGTTTGATCTGGATGAGATGGAGCGGTTCATGGACGACGGCGACGCGAGAGACGCGAGACGACGCAGGCGGGCGGACGCCGAGGAGGAAGATGAAGACGCGGAGGAAGACGATTCCGACGAAGATGAAGACGACGAGGTGGATATCTATCGCGATGTCAGTGAGAGTGATGATGGTATCGGCGACGACGATGAAGATTCAGATGAGGCGGACGATCTCGACGACGCGTTGGCGTACACCGCGAGACTCGCGGGCGTGAGCGCGAGCGGGCGAAAGAAGACGACGGCCAAGAAATCCAAGGGCAAAAAGGCGCAGGATCTCATGTTCGAGGACTTCTTTGGTAAGGGTAAACCCCTGGGTGGGACCAAGGGCGGACGCCTGGGCGCTTCCAACGACGCCGAACTGAACGAGTTGAGCGATGAGGAGGAGGACATGTACAACGCGCTCGAAGGCGACGAGGACGAGGACGAGGACGAGGAGGAAGACTTGGAGGGGGAGTTAGAGACCGGCATCGCCGGGAAACGGGGTCTCGAGAATCACGATGATGACGATGATGAGTACGTCGAGGAAGATGAAGGGGAGGAGGAAGAGGAGGAGGATGACTTTGCGTCCGATCTCGAAGAGCGAGACGACGAGGTGCTCGACGACCTCGATAAGAAGCTCGAGGCTGAGTTAGACGCCGAGCTCGCGCGTGCGCGAGCGGACGATGATGACGACGAAGACTACGCCCGCCCTGGAAAGAAGGGCCCGAGATCGGCGTTTCAACGTCAGCAAGAGGCGCTAGCGAAGCAAATTGACAAGCTCGAAAAGGAGGCCATCGGCGAAAAGTCGTGGATTCTCAAAGGCGAAGCTGACGCAAAGGATCGTCCTATGAACAGCGCTCTAGAGACAGATCTTGAGTTTGAGCACGTTATGGCACCCGCGCCTGTTATCAGCGCAGAGATTACGCAGAAACTCGAGGACATCATCAAAAAGCGCATCATTGAGGGCCGATTCGACGACGTCGAGCGTGTGCAACCCGTGGAGGAGCGCGAGCGCAAGGAACTGCCGCAACTTGACGACACCAAGTCCACCAAGGGTCTCGGCGATATCTATGCCGACGAGTACATGAAACAAAAGGTCGGCGTCGCGCTCGGCGAGAAGGAAGACCCCGTGGTCGCTGAGGTTAAGAAGCTTTGGGCCTTGCTTTCGTACCGCCTGGATGCTCTGTCACGAACCGGTTTCATCGAGGAGCCGAAGGACATCGAGGAGCGTATCGATCGCGACCTCGCAGCTCGTGCAGCGGGAAATGTCGTCCCAAGCACGTTCAAAGAGGACGACGGGCTCGCTCCCGAAGAGATCTTCGTTGGAGGCGGTGGCAAGGGCGGACAAAGAGGCTCTGCGGCTGGTTTCCTCAAGGCGGACGAGGAGCTCACCAAGGAGGAACGCAAGGCTGGTCGCGCGAAGAGAAAGCGCAAGTCAAAAGCTGTGCACGAAGAGAAGGAAGTCGCCAAGGCGAAGCGCGATCGCGAACGTGAGGCGCAGCACAAGGCCGAGGAGGACGCTGGCTTCATACGCAAGGCGCCGAAGGTTGCCATGCTCGCCGTGGGATCTGCTGCTGGAAAGGCGAAATCCGACTTCTCCAAGTCGAGCAAGGTCTTCGGCATGCTTCAAGACGCAAAGGAGCAAGAAGCTGCCCGCGGTGGCGCGAAAATAAGCAAATCGGACTCCACGAAGAACAAATCAAGTCTCAAATTATAGCAACGTTTGTAGCATCGTGCATCGTGACGCGACTTCACTCCACATACCAACGCACGAACGCCTCGACGAATGTTCTACCCACCCGACCTCGCGCGTGTCAACATAGAACGATCTCTTCTCGATCGCAATCGTGATCGTCCCCTTCCCTGGGGCGGCGTTGCCGTCTCCGTTGCTGCCCGTCTCGCTGCCCGCGGAGACAGTGGACGCGTGGTACCGCGGCGCGCCACACCTCTGGATTGCATCCTTCAAGAGGAAGACATCGACGGCTATAGCTTCGACCACGAGGACGATCTGGAGTCTACGCTCGTTCGAGAGAGTTACAAACACGGCGTCTTGGTGAACAGCACGAAGTTTTTCTCGTACGCGTCCAAGGAGGCGCGCGCACGCGCGCGCCGACTTCGCCCGAGATGGCGCTCGTTGTTCGATCCGAGCTCACGGTTTCAACTCTCCTGGAACATCCTCATCGTGATCGTGACGAGTGTGATGTGCATAGCGGAGCCTCTCGCTATCGGCTTCGACGTTCCGATGCGCGTGGGCGCCGGGATGAATCCGTATGCGGTGCTCGATTTCATCGCCGGTCTCGTGTATGCCCTGGACACGTTCTGCGTCAATTTTTTGGAGGCGAAGATAATCACCTGTCGGAGCACGGGAAGACGGAAGCTTATCACAACGCCAGCACTGATACATGTCATATACGTCGTCGACGGTACCTTCGCTCAAGACGTCATCGTGTGCGTCCCGTTCGTGGTGCAGTTAATAGCGAGCGTGCGACGAGCATCAACAACATCGGAGCGCTTCACGAGGATCTTACGCCTCTTGCGCGTCGGAAAGTTCATCGGTGCATCGCTGACGATGCCCGAGATTCTGTTCATGAAAGTTTTTCGCGCGACGCCCTTGGTTGTGTTTATGAGTCAGACGATCCTTGCGTTTTTACTCCTGGTCCATTGTGTAGCCTGCGTATACATCCTTGTCGCGATAAAAGAGGGACTCGAGAATAGCTGGGTCGCACAGATCGACTTAGAGGTCGCTTCCGATACAAAACTCTACATTGGTGCGCTATATTTCGCAACGGCCACGATCACAACCGTGGGCTTTGGAGACGTGAGCGCCGGAGCGACCGCTGTTGAAAGAATCACGGTATCAATCGGTATGGTGATGGGAGCCTGCTTTTACGCGTATCTGGTCGGCTCAATGGCATCCAGCATCGAAAATCTATCTTTAAAGATTTCGAGACAAAGGAAGAGTCGTGTGCGTCTGACTCGCGTCCACGCATTTCTCGATCGCCTACACGCGCCTCGAATCACCCGAGCGCACGTCATGTCTTATGTCTCAGAGGTCGAGGTCCGAAAGACCTGCTTGCGCGAGAACGAAGAAATAATGATATCGCTACCGACAGACCTAAGAGAAGCTATGACTTTGCACATGCTTAGTCCGTCCGTTCGAAAGATTTTCGGACCCATGTCGAACGGGACGTGCGCTCGGATCGCTAGCGTGTTCGACATCGTCGTCGTCGACCCGGGCGAAGAAATTGAGGCTGGATTTTTCTACATCGTGACCGAAGGCGTCATCGCGGTCTCGCATCTCGACGGGCACAGGTTGAGCGCCGTTCTCACGGGCGCTTCCACCGACGCCTCGGCCGCTTACCTATCCTACTTTGGATTGGACGTGCTCATATCGGCGGAGAGGAGAGCCGATATTCGTGCTTCATCGCTCACCGTATGTGAGCTCTGGCGTGCGTCCGAGAATAGCGTTCGAACGCTATTGACGAATCACCCAAGTGTGCCTCAATTCATGCTCGAAAACTTGCGAGCGGTGCAAGAAGACGACTTCGCCGATTTGCTACAACGTCGCGTCGAGACGTTGGAGACGTTCGTTACTTCACTCAGACGACGACCGTGACTCACTCGCGACACCATTCCCATGCGCGCTCTCCGCACCGTCGATCGAGCGCCGGTGGCGCCTCGCGCGAGGTCTTCGTCGCGTCCGTCCTCGAGGAATCGACGCGCGGGCACGACGAAAGCCGCGACGGCGGCGATGGCGAGCGAGGACGGTCCACGCACGTGGGACGGCTCGACGCCGCCCGTGATCGTGAATAACGTTCCCGGAACGTGGGCGCACGACACCGTGAGCAGGCGCTTGCGAGAAGATATCCTAGCCCGTGTTTTTAGGGATAACGCGTCGGTGATCGAGGGAGAGGCGGAGATAAATCTTCGGCAGCTGGAGGATGAGCTCAGGACGGCGTCGACGAGCGTCATCAAACACATCGCGGATGACGGCGGCCCGGACTGCGAGACGTGGCGAGAGCTCTTAGAACCGTGGGTAGGAATATCTTGGCTCGACGCGCCGTGGTTGATCGTCGAGTTTTACTTCTACAGACGCATCCTGAGCGCCATCGGTTATTTCGACGAGAGCTCGCCGACGTTCTTGCACGACCCATTCGCAGTGGATAAGATGAACGGATTGCGAGCTGGGATGCCCGCGGCGAAGGCGCTGGCGAAGAAAGCAAATGCGTTCGCGAAACGGGCGAAGGGGCGCTCGGACCGAGCCGATCTCGCTGACGAGCTCAGACTGTTCGTCATGGTTGCGTTGTGGGGAAACAGGATGGACCTTTCAATATGGCCCGAGTCCGACGAAGGTGGGAATCGCGCCAGTGAGGCGTTCACTGAGGCGCTTCAGGCGGGAGAGAAGTATCTTCTCTGGGATGACAGCAAGGTTGTGGCCTCGGCACTCGCTGAGGGAATGCGAGACGTATCCATTGTCGTCGATAACGCCGGATTTGAGCTTACGTGCGACTTGGCTCTGGCTGACGCGCTGGTCGTGAGTGGAGTTGGGAGAGTTATTCTGCGCGTCAAGGCGCATCCCGTGTTCGTCTCGGATGCGATGGATAAGGACTGCAGAGACACTATCGATGCCATGATTGATAGCGCCGACGATGAAACTGCCGCAATGGGAAGGCGCTGGGCGTCACATCTAGCCTCCGGAAAGTGGGCAATCGTGCCAGATTTCGCGTGGTGCCAGCCGCAGCCGTTTTGGGCGCTCCCTAAGGACACACGAGATGAATTGAAATCGTCAGACTTAGTCGTAATCAAGGGAGACGCCAACTACCGGCGACTTCTGAATGATTGCTTGTGGGAACTGAGCACACCTTTCGCTGATGTCTCTTCTTATTTTCCCGCCCCGCTCTTGGCTCTTCGCTCACTCAAAGCCGAGCTCGGATGCGGTATTCCCATGGACCGTCTAGCGGCGGTGGAAAACGAAAAGGATTGGATGGTGACGGGAAAATACGGCGTGGTTCAATACAATGCTCGTCCGGCGAGACAATATCGCGTTTCGTCTCAGATTGACGGCTGCAAGACGTTCGCCGGTCGCGACCTCCCACCAGTTGAGCGGCTTTCTCTCAAGAAGGTTTTAGTAGCGCTTGCGAATGCGAGCGAGGAGCTCGCCGATGCGCTCGCAGTGGCTCCGATGCGTAGCTCGACACTTCTCGGGTCTGTGGGAGGCGCGAAAAACGCGTCTGGAGACTCGCAGCAGAAGCTTGATGTCGTTGCGAACGACATCTTCAAGCAACATCTCGCAGAGTGCGGTGGGGTTCGATATTACGCCAGCGAAGAAGAGGCGACGCCAGCTTGTTTAAATGAAAGTGGTAAGTTTGTCGTGTGCATCGACCCACTCGATGGTTCGAGGAATATCGCATGCAATGTTCCCGTGGGCTCCATCTTCGGCGTGTACCGCGTTCGCGAGGACGAGGATGCCGTGACGAACGCAACGCAGGCTGGATCGGAACAAGTAGCTGCGGGGTATGCGCATTACAGCGGCGCGACGACCCTAGTGCTCGCGTGTGGAGACGACGGGCCGGCGATCGAGTACACGCTTCACGAAGGAAATTTTGAAGTAGCGAACGCGCGAATGTCGTGCCCACCGAGAGGACAAGTGTACTCGCTCAACGACGCAAGATTCGATGATTGGCCTGAGGGTCTGAAGGAGTACGTTACCGATGTTCGAAACGGTCGCGGCGACACGAAGAAGCAATACTCAGCAAGATATATCTGCTCACTCGTCGGGGACTTCCATCGAACGTTGATTTACGGTGGCTGGGCCGGAAATCCGCGCCCGCATCTTCGCGTCGTGTACGAAGCTGCGCCGCTCGCTTTCGTCGCTCGCGCCGCCGGCGCGGCATCCTCGGACGGTCTCGTCGATGTGCTCACAAAGAAGCCCGCGGAACTGCACGAACGCTCACCTCTTTTCCTCGGCTCGACGGAGGACATCGCCGAACTCGTGCGTCGCGGAGACGTGCGACAAGACGATTCCAAAACGTACGCCGTGTAATGAATGCACTCTCAAAACGTCCGCTTCCACGCTTCGCGAACCGCCGCCGAGCGAAACGATCGCATGATGACCTCATCATCCTCACGATCGCGCCCACGCGCCGGCTCGAGTTCAAACGTCCCGTTCTTCGAGTAAAACGGAAGCAACGCACGCTCGCAGTGCACCGTCACCACCTCGGCGTCCATGCCCGCGGCTGTCCGCGCGTACTCAACGGCGCGCGAGATCAGCATCGATCCCAAACCCTTCCCTCGCGCCCTCTCCGCGACGATCACCGACTCCAAAGTCACGCACGTCGCGTCCTCGAACCCGCGTCCGCCGCGCGTCTCGATCGCGAGCGCGCATCCGACGCACTCGCCCGTTTCCTCGTCGACCAAAATCAACGGTTCGAGTCGCCTTCCTCCCACGGAAGTCGAAACGTCGCGCTCGAACAGGCGCGCGTCGCCGCGTCGCTCGGGCCAGCGCTCGAGCACGATCGCCCGCGCCCGCGCCCGCGCCTCAGGGGCGCACGTCGACGCCGAGCGCAGCGCGAACGTCGTCACCGCGTCAGTCTCTCACGCGCGCTTTTTCGCTCATCGTCGTCATGGCGCCGCGTCCGCGTCTGAACGTCAACGTGGGCGTGCTCGGACACGTTGATAGCGGGAAAACATCCCTCGCGCGAGCGATCAGCGAACACTTCTCCACGGCGTCGCTCGATCGAGCGCCACAGAGCGCGCAAAGGGGCATCACGCTCGATTTGGGCTTTTCATCCTTTCTCGCCGATTTCCCCGATGGGACGGCGCCGGAGACGTTGGAGGCGTACGACGGGGTGCAGTTTACCTTGGTTGATTGCCCGGGACACGCGAGTTTGATCAAGACGGTGCTGGGGGGGGCGAGCATCATCGATTTGATGATCTTAGTCGTGGACGCGAACAAGGGCGTGCAGACGCAGACGGCGGAGTGTCTCGTCGTGGGCGAGATCACGACGGATCGATTAGTGGTGGCGATCAATAAGATCGATGCGTTCGAGGAGAGCGTGCGAGACGAAAAGGTGGGGAAGCTCACGGCGAAGCTTGCGAATGTGTTCAGTAAGACGAAGTTTAAGGGGTGTGCAATGCTGCCGGTGAGCGCTAGGCCGGGCGGGGCGGATTCGCAGGCGTTAAACGATGGCGGACCCGCGCCGATTGGGATTGAAGCGCTGAAAGCGACGCTCATGGATGTTATACCGGAGGTGAAACGCAAGCGCGACGGCGGTGGGGCGTTTTTGTTCGCCGTCGATCACTGTTTTCCGGTGAAGGGTCAGGGCACGGTGCTCACGGGGACAACGCTTCGAGGCGGGATCAAGGTTGGGGACACGATCGAGATACCGCACCTGAGGTTGGAGAAGAAGATCAAATCAATGCAAATGTTTAAACGCCCAGTGGAATCGTGCGCAAGAGGAGATAGGCTCGGAATATGCGTCGCCGGTCTCGATGCGGATGTTCTCGAGCGCGGCCTGGTGTGCGAGCCAGGCTCGGTGCCGACATTCAACGCCGCCGTCGTAAGCGCGAATAAGATTCGATTTTTCAAGAGCGCGATCAAGTGCGGATCCAAGTTCCACGTCACGATCGGGCACACGACGGTGATGGCGACGGTGACGTTTTTCGGTGACGCTCCGAAGGATGGACAAGACGCCATGGCGGACGCCATGGCGAGCATATCCTTGGGAGAGAGCAAGTTCGACAAGTCCAAGGAGTACAAGTATTGCGCGGAGCTCTTGTCGGAGGTCGAGGCAAAAGAAGCGAGCGAATACGCCGGGGGGATCAATAACGTCTACGACGCGCCGGCGTTCGCGAGGTACGCGCTCTTGGAGTTTGAGCAACCGATCACCGTACCCACGGATGAACTGTACATTGCCTCTCGCTTCGACACCGACATTCACGCGAACACGTGCCGACTGGCGTTCCACGGCAAACTCCTTCAACACATGAACACCGAGAAGGACCCAAACGCATTTCGAGCTCTTCGCGTATTCAAGATGAAGTCCAGGGAGGGTTCCATTGAGCGCGTTCAGGACGCGCGCACTGTCATCGGCAAGGGAATGTTTAAAAAGGAATCAGATCTGACATCTTTCATAGGAATGAAGGTGTGGACGTCAAACAACGAGTGTGGTGTCATCGAGGGTGGATTTGGAAAGAGCGGTAAGTACAAGGTGTACTTCTCGAACGGCATCAAGGGTGAGGGCGACGGCAAGCTCGTGCTGCGCTTTAAGAAGTACGTCTTCGAACGAGACGCTCCGAAGATGCAGCAGATCGGTCTTTAGGTAGCGGATTAGATGCAAGTCAATATAGCGTATTCGTATTCTTTACACGTCATCTCCCTAACGCGCCAACCAAATTACCAACGCGCGAGCTGATGTTGGCCGCGATGGCTCGAGAGTCTGTCGACAAAGACACGGTGTCGCTCTTTCTCGCCACCTTTCGAAGCAATGAATTGATGCTCTTCCGAGCGTTGATGAGATCCGAAAGTAAATCGGCGAATGTTTGCCTCACCTCACCTTCGGTGTTGATGAGCACTTCCTCCATCTCAGCGCTCTCCGGAGAATCTGTCTGTGACGCGTGCTGGGAGTCCTCGCCGCCTGGGATCATTATCTGCGTCTCCGCCAGAAGGACGGCCAATCGATTGTCGCTCACGGCTAAGAGTTCGTTCGGATCACCTCCAGAGTGCCCATGCGGACCGTTCGTCTCCACAGAGAGTAATTTCTCGTACGTGCACTCCTGCACTCGAGCGCGCAGCGCGCTCACCTCTCGCATGACTTCACGTAGCGAGGCCGCGCGTTCTTCGGCCGATATGATATTCGTCTGCTCATTCTTATCTAAGCTCGCCTCTTCGAGCTGCCGACGGAGCGAACGAATCTCTTTACTTAACACCTTTCGTCCTTTGAGCGAAGTCGCCTCGACCTCGTTCAACTTGTCCTGCGCTGCCGTCGCCGCTGCGCGAGCGTCTTTTAAACACTCTTTCGTCGTCGCGAGCTCTTCACTGAGCGCCTGGACCTCCTCACGTGCCTTTTCGAGCTCGTGGACTATCTCCGTGGTAGATTTTATCGCGACCTGATCGATCCGTGCGTCGTTCCCTTCGATTTCCGTCGCGCGTGCCTTAAGAGGACTCGGCGTCGCACTCTCCGGCGTTGGCATCTCAACCTCTGGCGTCCACTGCTCCCCAACACCGTTGACACTCGGACTCTCACGCGTCCGCGTCGGGGTCGCCAAACCGTCTACGTCAACGCTCACCCCGTCTCCATCGTCGCCCGCCAGCGCTCGCCTTAACGCCCGCTCCGCCGCCCCCACCCGCGCGAACCGACGCAAAGCTTCGCTCCGAGCGCACTGCTCGTTCGCCAAAACGCTCCACAACCAACTTTCCAACGCCCGTCTACGCTCCTCCACTCTCTGTTCGTCCGCGTTCACGCGTCCAAACCTTTTCCGCGGCGGCGCCTCGGGCGCGCACCCGCGTCCGCACTCCGCATCCAGATCTTCCTTCAACGCGATGAACTCTCGATACCGTCGTCGCGTCGTGCGCTCGGCGGTGACCATAGCGTTCGCGTTCGCGTTCGTCGGCGCGTCGGCGCCGTCGCGCGCGCCTTGAACGACGCACGCGACGGCGTAGTAGACGCACTCCCGGTTCGGTTTCGTCGGGTCCGGCGCTCGTCTCGCGCGCGGAATCGTGAGCCAAAATTCTCTCGACGACGTCGACGACGTCATCGTGGTCTCCGCGTGCGTCTCGCGCGCCGTCGAACCCGCGCGCGCGAACGCCGCGCGTCGTAACCTGAAGTTGGTCGAGATTCGTAACGAACTCCAAAGCCGCCTCATTCCTCGTCGCTCAGCGTCGCACGACGCGCGCGAGCATGCGAGCGCGCGCGAGCGCGGGTGCGCATACACGCCCGAGCGTATCGACGCGGCGGCGGACGCGACAGCGCGCGCGGTCGTCGTGCACGGGCGTGGATTTCGCCGATGACGACCGAAAGGCCTACGGTGAGTGGGGCGCCGACGGGCTGCGACAGTGCTCGTCCACGCAGGCGGCGATGGCGGGCGAGTGGGAAGACGCCTGTCGCGACGCGTGGTGGCGACGGGGGGTCCGGAGCGAGACGAAGTTGGCGCGGTTGATCATACTCGGTTCGAGGCACCGCCGAGACGTCGTAGGAGAGGTGTTTCGAGACGCGAACGCGATCGACGCGATGTGCGAGACGCTCGAGCGGTTGGTACCCGGCGTGAGCCCAGGAGCGGTATTTCATAAGTGCCCAGAAGCTGGGGTGGTCATGGTTGACGCGTTGAGGGCGCAGAGACAGTTGGTCATGGTCCGCACGGCATTAGCGGCGATGACGACGCTGGACATGGCGCGCGTTATAGATGGCGCGCCTCAACTTCTGGTCGTGGGTGACCTGAGTGGCGTCGAGCGGGCGCTGGAATCGCTCGCAGAGGCGTTGGGCGTGTCACCAGACGATGCGCGTTTACGGGAAACTATCGAATCCAGCCCCGACGCGCTCTTTCTTACGCGTGAGGAAATATCCATCGCTGCGGAGGATCTGCTCGCGCTGAATGATAGTTTGCATCATCCGACGCTCGCGGATTTCGTCGCTGCGCACGCGGAGGCCCTCGTATTCCCGCATATGAGATGCTCGTTGAAGCATACTCTCGAGCTGAGGCGTGGAAGATGAATGTAATGATTTGTAGTTGCAAAGAACTGACAGGATGAATGAGTGGGTTCACAGGATTAGGACACATCAGTCGTGTGTAAAGTAAAAGTACTCGATAGTCATGCAATCATTGGTGCCGTGCGCATTTCGTTGCGTCGCGTGACGCACGCTTGCTTGAAGCTCGGATTGAGACAATTTTTGCAATAGCCGCACTTTTCTCCTCGCCTGATTGAAGGGAATAGCTTCCTTCTTTTACGATTCGGATCGTTGGGAACGCCTGCGTACACTCGCTTGAGAGCGGGTGACATCTTCGGCTTGCCCTGGCCTTTGAACAACTGCTGGAACTCTTTGAGCAACTTGTGCTCTACAGAGTCTTCTGGGGCCGTGGCGGCGAGTTTTGCCAGTTGTTGACTCTGTGTGATGACTGGCGAAAGCACCTGCGATTGCGGCAACAACACTAACGCACCTCCAAGCGGTCTTCCATTTTTTGAGAGCGGAGCGGGCTCTGGCTCAAGAGGTCGCTCAAGCGGCTGAGGAAAGAACGGACACAGCCACCTAGGGAGTGGCCCCGGCTGCTTCGTCACTCTGTTCCAACTTCGAACGCAAATTCTTTGACTCGCGAAAGCGGCGGTCACCTGCGCTCGACTCATACCGCGAGTGATACTTCCGATCGACGTTCCGACAAGAACTCTGACCCGTCTGCACTTTACAAGAGCACCTTTGAGTATTTTTAAAGGAACTACGGATGATTTCTCGTCGAGAAATACCTCGTTCGTCTGAAAGTATGTGCCATGGAGTGGAAACTTGTTCCCCATCGAGCTGGCACAGGGTGTGAGTATGGCCACCGCGATCTTTTCTTTCGTGATTTCGTCGATCGACGTCGCATTCGCATCGATTGGAACAGCGATGCAGCCTTTGGCCCCTTCCTCTCCGGAAAGAGCCTCGATCAAATCCACGGGGAGTAGATTTGTAGGCACCATCCAACCGACTGTCTCTGAGCGCACCTTACTCGCCTTGACCACTGTCTCACTGAGCTCCATCCCAGTGATATCATCGAGTGTGGCCTCGTAATCTTGCGCTGCCATGCGAATCATGTCGTCGAGTTCAGCTTCGATGTTCTTTGCCAGAGCATCTTCACCAGATGTCAGGTTGAGTTCGACTCGACGCGCTTCCGTGATGTAGTTGAACGCTCTTGCCGCATCAGGATGAGGGTTCTTATCGGGGTGAACCGCCCGCGAGAGCCGTATATAAGCCATTTGAATCTCTTCTCTTGCCGTTGAAGCGCTCAAAAGTAACACGTTCGTCGCAAGCCGACCAGGTGGTCTGCCGTGTCGATCCCACAGCATGCCTGCAGAAATGACGGCTCGAAGCACGTGCACCGAACTCGTGGCGCTGTTACTAATCGTACTCGGTACCGTATGGGGTGGCCGATGATCGTTAACGATGTCTTCAATATCTTCCGATGCCGCTCGCATCGGCGCAACGGGTTTCTGTGGCTGTAGCGAAGCCAGACCGGTGTGTCCATCTGGTCGATCGATGCACCTGCCTCCTTGCTTAGCGTATTCGCAAATGTCCCGGAGCGGACACGCGCCACAATTCGGCAAACGCTTACCACAAAATACTTTTCCGAGTGTAATCATGTGGTAGTGTAGCTCGTAAAGCATATCAATCCCGAACGAGTTCAGTCGCTTCCGCAAGAAAGTGTACACCGCAGGTTCAGGTGCGTACTGAGCAAGCTCTTCAAGCGCAGTTTCGCTCTCAAGTGGGACCCACCCAAGACGCGCCATGATGCGCCCTACATTCACGTCCACAGGGAAATCTGTTCTGTGTAATGCAAGCAACAACACGCACGACGTCGTTTTGACTCCCATGCCGTCGAGAGCGAGGAGATACTCGCGAGCCTCGTCTGTTGGCGCCTCTCGAAGAAATTCAAGTGAAAGGCATCCGCGTTGCGCCATGACTCGTTTCAGTATCATTTTGATTCGGCGCGCAAGCATCCAATGCATACCTCTGCATCGAATACACTTAACGATATCGACGAGAGGAGCGTCTAAAACTGCGTACCAGTCCACTTGGTCCATAGTCAACTTGCTTCGCGGTGGATCCGGTCTGGCGAGAGCTTCCTTTACAGCGCTTGAAACCTCCTTCGACTTGCTTTTTGGTTTAACCGCCGAGAATTTTTCCGGCTTCTTCACCACTCGCTTCACTCTTGGTGGCGTGTCGAACGGCTGATGCGTCGCCGTATCGTTCGAGTCGGTTTCATCATCGTTCGTTTTTGCATCATCAAGCCCGATCGGCGTCCGCATCAGCCGGGCTTCTGCCGATCGTATTCTATCAAACATTTCGACGACAATCGTATGGATGTAAACTCGCGTCTCGTGTTCCGTTTCAGTCGAGGCATTGCAAGGAAATCTGGCTGCCAAGTTCATGAAAGCTGTGCTCGATAGCACGTCACTGACGTTTTGTGTGAGATTTGCGCCGATGACGCTGTCGAGGATTGACCCTCCCCACGATTGGCGATGGAGCACGCGATTTCCAAGTGCCGAGCGAGCTCGCTTAAGGAAGTCGCCAATCTTTGTCGACCAACTATTGCGCTCGTCCGAGCCGTACACGATCATATCTAAATTTTTGCCTTTCCAAACTCGCGCCCGTTTCTTGCGAGACGGGCTGGCTGGTGAGAGCAAATCAACCCACGCGGGATCGAGCCATGGCAGCGAAAACGTCTCCTTTGTCGGCTTAGGCGCCGGTGGTGTCTGAGATCCATCGCGTGGCGTCGCGGCGTCGCCTGCTTTTGGTTGAATCGTACTCCATAGACCCATGACAAAATGCTGCACCGGCAAAAGCTCAAGTGGCAGAACGGGAAACGGCTCGAGCTCGAAAGTGGGTATCGACGTCTTCTCCGCCGTGTCTCTCTCACTTTTGTTTTCATCCTGGAATGTCGGTGAGATTTCCGTTCCACACGACGCGTCTTCGTCTTCTTCCTCGCCGATCTTCCCCGATCGCTCGCGCGAGACGTCGCCAGCGTGACTCGGACATTGCTCCAAGAATCGACGCATGTTCGACGCCGTCCACTCATCGATCAATCGCATGGCCGTAGTGAACGGTCGACCGTCCTTTGAAAACTCACGCTTGAATTCGATCTCACGAGCGAACACCGCCGGCGCGAGCTCCTTCACCTTGAGCATCCACAGCACGAACGCGTCTCTCTTCGGCGGCGTCTCGGACGCGTCCTCGGTCGTCGCTCTCGGCTCGTCGCCGGCAAACTCGAGCGGATGATTTTCCCAAAATTCTTCCCAAAGCGCGCGAACCGCCCGCACTCGACTCTGAATCTTCTCCGGTCTCGGTCTCGTTCGCTTCGACCGCCGCGCGTCCGTGACGACCGTCACCCCCGGTCCGTCCAACCACTTCGCCCGCACCGGCGGCGCGCTCCGCAGCGCCCCCGAGGTCACCGCCCGCGCGTCCCTCCCAGCCTTACCGCTCG